CCCACCCCCCCCCCCCCCCCCCCCCCACAATTCAGTTTTGCCTATTTTTTTCAAATGGAAGATAATGTAATTATAATGACACTGCGTTTTGTGCGTAATATATATTTTTTTTTTACCTGAAATAGTTGGTGAAATAACTAAGCGGTGCAAAAGCGGAATGCGACATGAGGATATGAATATAAAATACAAATAATAATACAAAATGCATCTATTAAATGATTTATTTGAGGAAAACTTTGTTTTTATGGGGTCGTCCAATTAACCTAATCAGCTGAACAACCTGCTGAATTTCTGGATTAGACGCTGTCGGATTTAGCAAGGTCAACAATCTCTCTTGCAGAATCGGGGATGTCATTAAAAAACGTGCGTTTTCTAAAGGGAAGCACGTGTTTTTTAAATTACCAACATTGGGTGTGTGCATATAGGGCACATTGGTATAAAACTGTTAAGTTTAAAGGATAAAATCGTTGAATGTGTTCTGCTTAGCTGTAATCTGGAACCAGCTCTCCTTCCATATCCGTCATTGTGAAACCTCGTCCATTTTCAAAAAGTCCCTTAAAACTCATCTGTTTAGGTCCACCTATGACCTGTGATGCACCCTCCTTGCCTTGCCTCATTTTCTGTTTCGGGTTGATCCTGAAGTATAGGCCAAAACGTGTCAAAGTGTCCTCGTTTTATAGCCATTTTCATTGTTTCTATAGTATAGTAGTTACTATCCTAGTGTCTCATTTTCATTTTACTTAGTTTACATGTTTTGAATAATTGTAAAGCGCTTAGAGCTTTATGGTAAGCGCTATATAAAAATGCCTAAATAAATAAATAAATAATCAAAATATGTAGAAGTTAAACTATTAGACTACATAAATATTTATGGCCAAAGGTTTGTTTCAAACAGCTGCACATGGCTTTCATTTCGAACAATTAGAAAACTATTTCTAGTTGAAAAAGCAATGGGGGTGGGATGAGGCTGAAAATTTGACAACATATATATATATATATATATATATATATATATATACTCGTGGTTATAAATAAACATGTTCAATCGAGAATGTCTAATATATCTCTTTATTATTTGAAGACATTGCTACCACAGAGTTTTAGAGAGGACAAATAGTCGCATCATATTAAATACGGTAATATATTTTTTCGTCATGCTGAAAGATAGAAAAAAAATATTATTTAATATTGAGCTCAAGATTCAATTATATTATCATTAATCATTCAATAGATTATATGCTATTTGTAAATTTTCTATTTGTTAATTCATTGTTTTCCTGCAATAAATGTATTCTTAAAAATAATTACCTTCATGAGAGCCATGGAAATTCAGAACAGGCTTTCCATTCTCTGAATCTGGCACACTAACATGGGTGCGATTGGTCAAGTTTTCTCTGGTCTCCATCATCTGCTCCTCTGTGTGTGTAAACGATGACGCCATCAGTAACACCAACACAGCCAGCATGTTGTTTTAATCAGATAAATATCTTTGGTTATTTTATTAGTTTTCTTTTTTTTATTGTCTTTTTAATGAAATTTGACGTGCTCTTCGTCTTCGACCTTAACAGATTATAAAAGTTTGTTGTTGTTTTTTTTTTTGAAAAAACCTGATGAAAAATTATTTTGCTAATGAACTTTTTTTATAACATATATGTTGGTCACTTTTTTTTAAAATGAAATTAGAAAATTTAACAACTGTATAAATGTTAACGTGACATTAATTTAACACTTTATAAATGTGAACAGATAAACGTTTGATGAAAATACGCCTTTTAACAAGTTTTAGCTGTGTCACTGTGGGGGAGAGGGGCGGGGATTTAAGGAGCTTTCTTACTGGTGAATGACTAGCAATAAATTTAAAAACTAAGAATTTTTTTTTAACGAGATAAATTATTACGATCATAAACACATTTAACGCGAATCGCGTCGAAAGAATTGAAGTTTCGTTTATTTTGAGGTCCTAACTCTTCTTTTGAATCAGTTCACAGCCGTGCGGGCAGTTTTTCTATATTTTCATCAACACAAAACTTCCTAAGCCCCGTTGTGAAGATTGTTGATTTCTAGACAAGTAATTGTTCACATTGAACCACTTTGTTTCCGTCGTCTTATTTCAGTGTTCATGTTCACTCTTTCCACATACTTTATTGCCATACCGCCATGAACACGAACACAGATAAAGAGAGAATAGAAATTCGAGAGAATACAACAAATGGACGTGTTCTGTCAAGCCAGTCCTAACAATCCAACTCGTGTCCTCTGCCCCTATGGCGTATTCTAATCACGGGCTCTGTAACAATGTCCCAGGTTTTAGCAATTTGTTGAAACGCTTTAAAGCAACAACGAGAAAAAAAAATATGTCGCCATATTATCGCTGGGCTAATGGCTGTATGCCAATGAGCCAGCTTTTAAGGCCGTGTTGCGCAACACTTTTGGACCACGCCCAACCAAATAATCTTTGATTCCCCCCTCCCCCTTTTTTTGTATTTATAATGTTGAAAAGAATACTTTTCTATCCACTGTCAAGAAAATATTGTTTTGTTTAACATATAAAATTAAAGTTACTACAAAGCTGAAATGGTAGCTCCTTATATTTATTATTAAGGTGAGGTTTGTCTTTCCAAATGTTTCCAAAATTGCCGTTTTAATGGCATGGAAAAGTGCTGATAACTTTTAATGAGCATAATAATGTTTCTAAAAACCCAAAGCTTTTACAGGCTCGATTATTGTTTAAACTGGTTATTCTTTAGATATTAGAATTCATTGTGTTTTTTTTTTTACAATTTTCTGAAATGTATTGCATGAGGGAGGCAAAAAAAGTTTAGTAAATCTTAAAATGAGTACCGTCTTCCATTATCTCAAAATTTATCAATTGTACAAATATCTCAATTATTATTCGGTACTAGTTGATTTTTTAAAAATATATTTTCAGAAAATATATTTTCTTTAATGTTCAGTTAGAAAGGGGGTGGTGGTAAAGAGATTTTTCAAATATTTAGAAGCTGTCAGTTTCTCCAAACCTAATGACGTTACAAACAGAAAAATGTAAAAATAGATACTTCTTTAAAACTAAGAAAAGTCTGATTTAATTTTTCCTAAAAGGGTCGTTAATTTCTTAATTATTGATCTGTTGAGGATACAATACATAAAAACACGATAAATTTTGGTTTACGATTTTGAGTTTCCTGTGATGAATTGCATTGTGAAGTTTATAGATAACAAAAGCTCTGAAACTTCGTTGGACTTCTCAATAGCAGTTAGATGGTGACGCGATGTGATTTCAGTTGTTACCCGGGTGACACCGGGTCAAAGCTTCTAGCTTTGAATAAATTGAGAAAATAGAAAGAGACATCAAAGCGTTTAGGGCGTATCTTCTGGAAGCGCTTATTTTCATTTATTTTGCATTCATAAATCTCTCTTTTAAAATTTGACCATTCACAGCCATAGACGGGGATTTGATATTTTCAGCCAGACAAAACTTTAAAATCATGATAACAATAAAAATAAGAAGAACAGTGTAAAGACGAGAGAATTCAAGACATGGACACCAACATGGACACAAACATGGACACAAACATGGACACCAACATGGACACCAACATGGACACAAACACGAAGTGAAATAAAAGCGGAGAAGAAAAAAAAGGTTAGGAAAAGGAAAAAAAAAAAATGGAAAGGTTTTTTGAAAGCCATTCAAGGAATCCAATTCTTTTCTCTGGGATTTGTTCTATGGCGGGCTGTGTTTTGAATGACAGGATTGCACCCTTTAAAAAGGACTATAATATTACAGTAGGAAAACTGTGTGTCATATCAGTTCTGGGTTAATGGTGCTACGCCGATGAGCTATAAGCTTTTAAGGCCGTGTTGCCCAGGGTTGGTTGTTTTTGTCTAGTTATGCCACACCTCATCAGTCAATATGTCATGCCAACTGTCGCTTTCCCCTCGAAATGTTTCAAATATTACATTTAATCCTCTGTCAACAATATTTTTTTTTTTTTATTAAAACGCTGAAATTTTGTTTCCAGTGATTTCTAAACCCAATTTCTTTTTTTAAAGTTGTCACAAGTGAACTGTCGCAAGTTTTCCGAGAATTTCGTCAGTGCAAGGATGATTCAAATAAAGCTGGCTGTACTAAACTTAATATTTGAAATAAACTCTACTTCAATTGTAACGTTTTTGCCCTTAAGCTTCGTTGGGAAATTCGTTCTATGAATCGGGTAACATTTTGTGTACAGGAGAGGATAGGGGTCATTTGACTCGTTGTGAAGAATGTGTACAGGAGAGGATAGAGATCATTTGACTCGTTTAAAAGAATGTGTACAGGAGAGAATAGGGTCATTTGACTTGTTGTGAAGAATGTGTACAGGAGAGGATAAGGGCATTTGACTCGTTGTGAAGTATGTGCACAGCAGAGGATAGGGTCATTTGAATCGTTGTGAATAATGTGTACAGGAGAGGATAGGATCATTTG